AGTATTCAAATAGTCAAAGAAAAATATTCCCTTTCCTAAGCCATGCATAAATGAAAAGAAATAACTGAGATTTTAAACTAATGACTCTCCCTTTGCTTGTACTGCCATGTCGCCTTAGGTTTGTGTGCTTTTAGTCTTGCTTAATATTTTTTGAGGAATATGAAAACAAAAATCTTAACTGAGATGGCCACACAAGCCAAAACTTTAACACGCAGCATGACTGATGACACAACCCAATCTCTCCAGAGAAGGGGACAAACTGTACCATTAAAAACTGCACTAGCAGAAGCTGCATGTTGATTCTCTGGGGTTTCAAATAGAACTTCACTTTTAATAATAGGCAAGTGTGTTTTAATCAACACTCTAAAACTCTTCCACTTTAACTGAGGTTTGAATGTTAGAAAACCCCGTTACTCCCGGGACCACCCCAATCTCTTGCTTTCATCATCTCTGCATTTCCAGAACACCACAGGGATCGCCACGGACAAACATACAAGACGGGCATCACTAAACCGCAACCATCCCAACTCACACACAGGAATGCAATTCAGAGGAGAAGTTACTGGCCCCAATTCAATCTGCAAGATGGATTCCAAACTGCAGGGTAGCTGCATTTCTAAAAGGAGAGCAGTTATGAGAAGCTACATGCTCCTAACACACCCTCATCACAAATGCATATTTGTGGCTTTCTCACTGTGTTCAGGCCTTTCCCTTTATCGCATCAGCTGTACTCATACTCTGATCCAGAAATTTGTCCATGGGGTAAGTTTATCTGTATATAGAGGGGAAAAAAACCAAAAGCACACTGAAGTGTGTTCTGATTAACTAGATAACACTAACCACCTTTTCTAAATCCAGCTAGAAATCATACTAATATACATCTCAATAAAGAGACGATCGCTTTGTTATTCACTCTGGAAAAGTGTATTCATTGGCTCTAAATTTTAATTAAACTGCATTTCAACTTAACATCTCCTTGATCTTTTATTATGACAAAACATGACAAGCCAACTTTGCTGTAATCTCTTTATAACCACTCACTGCTCCAGACACCTCTGTCATGTGCCATCTTGCTGGATCCAACAGCTCATTATGGCCTCTCCTAAACATCGCTCAAGAAAACGATAGAGATGGACCAAACATCCCTCTCTAGATCTTTTCTAGCTCTGAACTTGCATCAACACCACCAGAATTAAAAATACACTCTTGATTAATCAGTCTGAGTGTCTGTTTCAGGTAGGAAAAGGATCTCAGCCATTCCATTAAATATAAAAAAAGTTGGAAAATCATAGTAAGATCAAATTGTTCCAAAGTTCTGCCCAGTTAAGCACAAGTCCTTAAAGAAGTTTAGTAACTCACATAGAACATTTTTATTTAAAATTTTTACAAATTCACACTGCACATTTCTCAAATATCCAGTACAATAAATGGTCACTTTGATGGGGATTTATCACCTCGGTGTTTTTAATCAAGCTGCCCTGCTTCAAAATACTCTTTTCCTTTCTGCCACCCTCACTAGGACTGAAATCAACTGGCATACGCACGGGTTAGGGAACAGGAGAGCTTCAAGCCCCTGCAGGAACATCTTAAAATTTCTACGCTATTACAAATTGGCGCTAACTTTTAAGATCTCTAAACAGCACGACAATAACCTAGAGCACTTTAAGAGCTTTAAAGGTATGCTCTGATTTAGTTAAAGTCCTTTTATTTCTTATAGCTTCACCACTAACAACACACAACTCTGAGTTATGAGCACACTGCAGTTAGCTCCAGAAATTCTTCAGAAGTTTAATCTTTCCCGTAAGAATACAGAACTCCGCTGAGGTACCTTCCGGCTAATAAAAGACTGACAATTTCTTCTGTCATGCCCCGCAGAGCTGCTCCCCACCACCTGTGTTGTGGGCGGACGTGCTCAACAAACTACTTGTAGTGACTTAAGTCTCAAATAAGCAATGGCGAGGTTAAGAACTTGCGTGGCATGTAGCACTTCTCTGAACACACACACCCTCGGAGAGTGTGCGCTTCTCAGAACAGAAATCCTATGAAAACTGGCGTTCTCTTCGTTTAATATTCCCCACGTTCTCCCTTAGGCTCCACTTCCTACGCCCCAGCGATGCCGTTTTACACTTGCTCCAAGAGTTAACAGCCAGGGATGCTCCAAGCCCCTGGTATCGGTACACACCACCGGAACGGAAACCAGCCCTCTACTTTCGGGGCCCCCTGCCCAGTTTCTAACCCAAATCAGAGCCTTCAGGGTCGCTCCGAGGCCGAAGCCCCCTCCCGAGAAATTCGGGAAGCCTGCAGACGCCCGCACCCCGTTACTCTGCCCTCGCAGCTCCAGGCCGAAGGCGCTGCCTCCCCACCAGCCCCCATCGGGGCAGCGTCGGTCTCCAGCCGCATCCCTGCGGATGCGCCGCCAAACGGCGAGGTCAAGCGAGTGGCAGCGGGGCCGCGGCCGCCCTCCCGGCCGGCACCGGCGGCGAGGCAGGGAGCGGGGAGAGAGGAAGTGGGGTGGGGGAGCCCCCCGCCGTGGCGCCGCTCCCGCGGGGGCCGCCGCAGGGCCCCGAGCGCAGGAACCTGTCGGGACACATTCTTGAGGCCGTCGCGGCCGGGCCAGGAATGCGGCCGGGGGAGCCGGACTCGGCCCCGGCGCGGGTGCCAGGGCCCCTCGGCCGAGCATCCCGGTGCGGCCCGCACGCCGGCGGGGGAGGAGGGGGGGGGGGGGGGGAAGAGGTCGGGGCGGGCGAAGCTCCCCGACGGCGCCAGAAGGGCGGGAGGGGGGGGCCGCCCGACGCGCGGGCCCGGAGGCAGGGCCGGCCGTTAACAGCACTTAACGGCGCGGGCACGGTGCTCCCCCTCCGCAGCCCCACCTCCCGGCCCGGTGCCACACTCACCCTTGGAGTAGAGGGACTTGGGGGACTCGAGGTCGAGGTCGGCGCTGAGCAGAGAGATGAAGTCCGAGGGCATCGCAGCTCCGCGGCCCGGCAGGGGCGAGGGGGGCGGCGGGAGGAGGGGGCCGGGCCGGGAGGGGGGCGCTGCTGCCTCCGCCGCCCCGGGGTAGGGAGGGGAGACACCGGCAGGCGAGAGCGCGGCTCTCCTCACGTCGGGGCCGCGAATGGGGCCGGGTCGGGCCAGGCCGGGGGCTCCGCTCGCTGTCGGGACCGGGCACCGCCACCCCTGACAGTAACCGGCTGCTCCCAACGGAACGAGCCCGACTGCCTCCTCAGGTGCCACTCTGCGCCTGCGCGGCCGCCGGGGGTTGAGGCGCGCACACGGAACACCAGCGCTGCCCTTCCGCGCATGCGTCCCGGCGGGCGGTGGTACGGAGATAGAACAGCCCACCGGGCTGGCCCTACGCGCCTGCGCAGAAGAGCCCGTTGCCGCGCTCTCCCCCGTCGCCGGCAGCGTCGCAGTGCGCATGCGGGAAGGGGTGGCGGAGGGCGGGGGAGCTGCCGGGCGGAAGAGCCGCCGCGGTGGCGGCGGGGGGCGTGGAAGCGTCTAGAATGGAGCGGGGGCCGGCCCCGGTCCCTGAGGGAGAGCGCGGTGCTGGGTGGGGTGGTGTTGGTCATAAGGGTGGGGATGAGGATGGGAGCTAGAGCTCTGCGTTGTGGCAGGTAAAGGAGCATGGGTTTGAAAGCAAACAGAATGGGAATCGTAGGAACACGGCATCCCGGACCTTAAAGCTCATCCAGTCCCAACCCCTGCCACGGGCAGGGACCCCTTCCACTAGAGCAGCTTGCTCCAAGCCCCTGTGTCCAGCCTGGCCTTGAACACTGCCAGGGATGGGGCAGCCACAGCTTCTCTGGGCACCCTGTGCCAGCGCCTCAGCACCCTCACAGGGAAGAGCTTCTCCCTAAGAGCTCATCTCAGTCTCCCCTCTGGCAGGTTAAAGCCATTCCCCTTGGCCTGTCCCTACAGGCCCTTGGCCAAACCCCCTTTCCAGGTTTCTTGTAGCCTCTTCAGGCACTGGAGCTGCTCTAAGGTCTCCCCAGAGCCTTGCCTTCTCCAGTGGAGTGGGCAGACGGCATCGTGTGAGGACATTGTTCATTTGCTTCAAGCCAGGCCCAAGTATCCTCCCAAATTAAAATCTTCCTGAGGGTTTTCCTGTAATCACTCTGTTACCAGCTTACAGGCAACATTTCCCTGTGGCTGGCTGTTTCCTGAAGCTATGGCAATGGCACAGAGGGGCTGCTGACTCTCAGAGGTTGATGTCCCACTGCCAGGTTCTGCATGGCAGTTCTTAACTTCGGCAAAAAATTCCCTTACTGAAAGATGAGTGTGCAGATAGCAGGGTTTTGGCGGGCTGATTCTGGAAATGTTACCAGAGCAAAACTATCCTTTTGTTAATGGAGGAAAGGGAAGCAATGTGAGAGGCAGATACGGAATCCCACTTGAAGGCATTTCGTGCACAGTTTCATGGTAGCTGATAAGAAGAAGCTGTATGTGATACAAGCTGTCCGTGAGGGTGAAGACGTGATATGTGCCATGTCCAAAAGCAGTTGAGACCCTGAGAACAAGGCCATGGGAAGCTGGGGTGGGCAGCACTCTGTAAAGGAGGAGGGACAGCTGACGTGGGTATGATAGGGGTCCTTAGCAGAGGATGGGGGGTGCAGTAAGTGTTGTGTATCACCCACAGCACTCACAGGCTGCATTTAGCTGTTACCACTTCATTGCTGTCCTGAAAAGATACTGGTTCATTCCTGTGCAAGACAAATAGGAAATAGCCAGGAACTGCAGGCTGCAGGATCACCACTGCCTGATGAAGCTGTCTAAAGCTAAGGGGGGGGGGGGGGGGGGTGTGTTACTGAGGATAGTTTGCAATGGGGTCATTTTTGCAGCTGGAGTCCATCCTGCTCAGCGCGAGTGCCAGCACAGGGCAGGTTGTGCAGCAGAGAGGTGAGACTTACTCAGAGCAGCATAGCCCAGTTCAACTCAGCTCAGTTTAACTCAGCTCAACGTAGCTCAGCGTGACTGCAGGGCCACAGCCAACCTCAACTGTTAGGCTGCCTAAGAATATGAAAACCAACAACGCAGTTTCCCAAATGGAGCAATACTGAGTGACTGAAATCAGGTAAAACACCAGCTATAAATCCAATAAATAATTTCAAAGCCTAAATTTAAAGGCTGAACAGCACAGGGGCCTTGTAGAGCTATCAGAGTGTGCAGGAGGAAAGAGGAGGGCAGAATACACATGGCACTGCGCAGACTGGCTGGTTCAGATTATATGATTGTGAAATTAAAAGGATTTGCTGATAAATTTACTGAACAATTGTAAATTATTTTTTATGATGGGAACTTCAGAGAGAGGCAAAAAAAAGGTTGTGGAGTGGTCATATTCAGAAGAGCTGAAGGGAAAGATCCCTCCTTTGAAATCATGTACCTGCCAGCTCTGGAAGGGCTGGTGAACTCCTCTGTTCCAGGTGAGGGTTGCCCTACCCCGCGAGGGAAGAGTGCCTTGAGAAGAGAGTGAGCTACTCCTACTCTGGCAGTACAAAATCAAACCATTTGGGAAGCATCCAGGATAAAAAATGTCAGACTGTGCTATGATCACCTCCTGTCTAAGTAATGATGGAAAAAAAGCTTTCTGAGAAGGTGCTACTAACAGATGGTTTGTGGCAGAGAAGAAAAACACAACTTAGTTCTGAGAGAGGAATGATGAGAGACAGAGCAGTCTGGGATGGAGCAGGTAGCTCCCCTGCCTTTGTGGAGCAGAGGAATTCATTGCCAGCCAGCCAGACTGGACAGTGCCAAAATCCCAGACGTACTGGCACTGCAGCAGCTACATGACTGAAGGACTTCCACTGCAGCAGGGGACAGGTCACCCCACAGCTGGTGACTGGTTTGCCAGGACAGGTGCAGGTGGCACGAGAACATTCTCTTCCTGCTCAAGGCACAAGCTAAGCGCCTCTGTCCAACCAATGCAGACTGTGTTTGTGTCCAGAGCACAGTGTCCTGCAGCCAACCAGGCGTTGTCCTGGGCTTCCATGTCTGATCAGGACACTGAGTGCTGGGAATGCTACTCTTAGGCAGAACTCCCTCCCCAGTGTACCCAGGACTGACCGCACATCTGAAATGGGAGGAGAGGCATGAAGAAGGGGAGGCAATGGGCAAAGGCCAAATTTGAAGAAACAGATAATCTGCTCTTTGGGAGGAGAATGCAGTCCTGTGTAATTAGAATTCTAATGACTAAATAAAATCAGTCCAGGGTGCAGCATGGAGCAGTACTTAGCAATGGGACTCGGGGAAATAACTGCAGCCAGACAGGTCAGCAAAACACAAGTACAAGGTTTACTGGAATCCAGTTGAAGCCATAAACTCCTCCCATGGACCGCAGCAGGTAAAAAATCCATGTGGAGCCAACAACAGAGGAGCTGTCAGGGAAGGCAGGACTGCACCTTCTTATCTAACAGTTTTGAAATCCAGCTTGAGTTACAAGATACATTGAAAGGGGCAGACAGGTAAAAAGAGGAGGCACAATAGGGTGAACAGAAAGACCTCACGAGCCAGAGCCCGGGAGTGTGTTCAGGACATTGCACATACCCAGCGTTGACAAACTGAGCCAGGACACGGATTTACCCAAGGCAATAGAAAATGTTTCATTAAGCAGAGCTGCTGAATCACCCGTCTAGCCCATGGAGTGACCCATTCCCGCGCCTTAGACAAATGTTAAGACAGATGCTTATCCTGAATGGTGTATGATGGAAATACATGAAAAACAAAATTCCAGTTAGCCTGGATACACCAGTGAAGGGTCTCACCAATGCAGGAGGCAGCAGCCCAAGCCCATGGCAGAGGATCCTGTGTCACAGAGGGAGGGCACCAATTGTGCTGTTCAGGGGATGCCATGAAGTAGTACATTAATTGAGCCTTGTCTCTCACTGCTGGTAGACAGCAGCAGCGAGGACTTACAGGATTGGTTTTACTTATGTTTTTACTTTTTGTGGACGTGCACTTTCACTGAATCAGAGGGGAGCTTCTGGGCTGCTTGCAGAAGCCCAGCACCACTCACTGATGTCTGATACCCTTCAGTGGAGGTCTGGTACTAATTACCCAGGAAAGAAAAGCTGCTTATGCTTCCCAAGGCAGAGAAAATGTTCATGTGAACAGGCTGAACTGATAAAGCAAGGGAAGAGAGAGGGTTACCTTCACTAATGACTCTCAGTCAGGAACTTAGCCTCCAACTTCCCTTGACTTGCCCAAGATCAGGGTGAGGTTTAAGCTACAAAAGCAACTACAATGTTCAACTAAATCTTTCTCTTGGATGTTCTCACCAGCCCCTGGTCACACACTTCATACCTCACTGTAATGATGTGCTGTGTTAACAGCAAATGAAACCTGGCTTGTATTCCCTATCCAGGAAAATTAAGGGACAGTATAGGATGGATTCAATCCAGCTGCTCATGAGGGTGGCACAGCGTAGCTCTTTGGTACCTAACCCCAGAAGTCAGTGTGGGACCGAGTCCTCCAAACACATTGTTGGTGCTGGGCTATAGGTCTTGATCACAAGTAAAACTAGAAGCTGGGGAGCTTTATTGTATATTAAAGGAGGTTATACATGAATGACCACTGAGCTGCTTGTGTATTTTTCTTCTATGATTTTGGAACATCTTCTGCCTCTTGCTTTGGATAAACATACAGTTTCAGTGCCAGCTCTGGAGAGGTGTGCTGGGGAATTCTTTATACAAGTTCTGTAGATCCTTTTCAAATGTCAGATTGGCTGATGGGCAAAACCTTTAATGTCCTGAAAGGGCAAACTCAAACCAGTGCCTGTGGTGGGAACAGTAAGCAGGATTCAAACTGTGGAAGTTACACAAACAGTGGAAGTTGAAATAGTACAGTAAAGGAAATTAGTGCCCTGTTTAGGAGCAGGAGGGATTGCAGCTGAGTGTGGTATGCAGCTATGATGGGGTTTTCTAGTCTCTGCAGCAGAGATTTAGAAGAAGATGGGCTCCAGCTGGCAATCTGCCTTTGGAGTCTGGAAAATCCTGATCCTCAAAGCATGAATGAACGAAGGAGCAGCAGCACATGGCAGCGGACCTGGGCAAGACGACACCTCAACAAGTCTGTTCTTGCTCACGTGTCTGTGAAATGTAGCAGTGCTTTTTGCAATAATATATGGAATACATGTAACCAAAATACACTGAAGTCCTAACAAATTAACCACCAGACACCAGAACAGGAGACTTCCCATTTGAAGTTACATGTTCTGTGTAATTAAGGTATTTTATCTTTTTTACAATGAAGTTCTTCTGCCTGCAGAAGCAGTTGGAGAGCAGCAGGTGTGAAGAGGAAGGAGCCTAAACCAGGATTGTGGAGATAAATTAGCAGGTACATGCGTAGTACTGCTAACCCCATTTCCAATTTTGAAGCCTGTGTAGGTGTTTTATTTTCTAACTGTTTTAGAAAGACTGTCATGAAATAATTAGGCTCTGTCAACAGTTCCCCTATTCCCAGATTACTGCTTCCTGACTCATTAGAGCTGCTGAGGTTGGCAGGAAACTTGTTTTATAGTAATTTCTCTTGGCGGTGTCCCTGGAGAAGAGACACTGTGAGGCATGTGACACTGGCGTCAACATCATCCTCATAATGGAGGTACGGGGCAGCTGGGAGACATCAGGTTACTGCTGCCATGAGACACCAGCACCTCTGCACCTCATGCTGGAGATGGGGAATGGGATGACTGGGGATCCTAGCCTGTGTGGCGGATAGCTGGGCAGGGTTTTAGGGACAAGAACCCAGTTTGTGTGATTTGCTGGTTTCCTGAATATTTGGCTAGCTTGTAAGGCTTTTAAAAAGAGAAAAAAAGACTTAAAAACCATTGATGCAATGGGTCTTCCCATTCAATCCAGGATGAAGCCACAACAGCATCCCCAGCATTTCCTCCCAGAGCAGCAGATATGATGGGCAAACACAACTTGGCTGCATCAGGAGGTACCGAGTCTTCATGGTCTACTGGCAGCAAGGCAAGCATCTGGCTCCACACAGGCTTTGCTACTGTCAGAGCATGACCCAGGGCAGGAGTTTGTTCACTGTAGCTGTGTGACCCTTATTACTCTGGGTACAAGAAGCAGCATTTTCTGGGGTCTCCCAGCTCAGAACAGAGCAGTGCCCAGCCAGGCCCAGCCCACAGCTCCCAACTCCAACCTTTGCAGTATGGAAAGCCCCACATCACATTCCCTTGCTACTCCTTCCTTTTATCAGCTAATTTCAGCAAAACCAGGAACATGCTCAGACTTCCTACTTATCGTCTGCAAACCATCAATTCAGTCAACAGTTACATTCTGTTTTGTCAAGGGATTCAGGTTTGTGGAGAGGCAAAGAGACCTGTACAGTTCTGCCAGCAACATGGTTACATGAACAGCGAAAGCTGCCTCCATGCTCATGTTTACAGTTCTTCACTCAACTTATTTTCCAGAGCACCTGAAGGAAGCAAAACACACATAAACAGCTTTAATTTCAGCCAGAGAGGTTTTTCACAGGCTGAAAGCTGAGACAGTGCCTGCATTGTGCAGGGAACCTGGCAACCAACCATTGCTGAGCGAGAAGTTCAATGTAAGGACAAAGATTTGGAATTGTCTTTTTTAATCCTCAAATAAAACAGGTAAACAAGCTTTGTTAATGCCTCCCTTGTCATCTGAGCAGTTCCACACCTGTGGGACCCACCATTCATCAAGCCAGAGGAGAAAGGGATGAGGGGAGGCAAGCTGGGCTCATGACGTTGCCAGAGGGAGCCCTGGGCAGGGGAGCTCAGTATCAGGAGAGCAGAAGGCTCACGCTAGCCTGCCTCCATCATGTACATGCTCCCCTTCAAACAAGTTGCATGGGCAGAGAGCTGCAGGGAGGATCTGCAGAGCCATGGACCAGTAAAACACGTGCCTGTGCTGGGCATACTGATGCTGTTCTAAGCTTGTACCTGATGGAGAAGTGGGAAAACTTGGATGTGGGTTCTGTAAATGCATCTCAAGCTCCTCAAAATGCTTGAGAGAGCTAGTGAGTGTGCAGAAAAGGGATAGCTGTTTGGCAAAGGTTGCTTGGGTTTCCACAAGGTATTGGGCAAGACTTCGAACAGCTCTGAGAGGCCCTGGAACAAGACTGAAGGTCTTCCCCAGGCAGTTAATCTGCTGAAAGGAAGCAGCAGAACAGAGAAGTTCTGCAAGAGATAGAAAGTGACAGGCGGTATTGCCAACAGTAGTCTGGAATATAAAAATATCATTTTAGATGATAAGATCTATTTTCCATAAACTTACAATGAGTGACCCCTTGCTGAGTTTAAGACCAATGTTAACGTATGACTCTGTGGCCTGTCACCTTTGTCGTTTATCATGTAGCTAACCAGAATATCCCAGGTCCTTCCTACGGGATTTTCCTTGGCTCAGATTTACACTCTTCTGCTACGCTTTCGTTAGGGCAGACCAAACTCAGACTAAACCATGGAAGCAGCCCAGGCCTAATGAGGGACTTGGAGGGATATCCAAGACCCACTGCAGCAGTGAATTCCAGGTTTCTCTGGCCAGATAATTCACTGTAAGAGATAAAACAATTGATGGCAGTGGAAAAAGTCCCATGGGAAGACAGACATCTACAGGGACTGCTGTTGCTCCTCTGCTCAATGAGCACCAGAAGCTAAGCTGCTGCTAGCAACTGCCATGCCCATGGGAGGAGCTGAGGGACCAAGCAGCTCCTTTGACTTCTGCTTTGAACAGGTGGAGTGTAATCCCACATCAATAAATTCTTCTACATGACCTTCAGGGGCACAGAGTGGTTTCATGGAAGAAGCCACAACCTCCAGGAGGTTTTCACAAACAGGACCCCAGTAGATTGCATCCCTTTTTGCAGCAATTCAAAGAGCTGATCAGCTTTGCTGTAACCTTTGTGTCAGAGCAGTGTTGTAGAGCTCCACTGAAGGGTATCAGACACCAGGACATGAGTTCCCTTTATTTAGCAGTTCCTGGAGCCACAGACCAACATGCTGGAAGAGCTGGAAAGATTTGTGCCTCAATGCACAAAGCGTACTTTATATTGTCTCTGCACTGTTAGAGTCCAACCACATCACACACACAAAAACAGAAGAGAGAAATATCCTCCTCTATTCCAAGACAAAACCAGCATTATGCACAAATCCCAAATGGATTTTTTCCCCTTTTCATTTAGGAAGAAAAGACAGGATTTGTCTTCCCCAACACCCCCCACCGCGCCCCCCCCCCCCCCCCCCAATCTGGTGCACATTCACAGTAATAATGAGTTTTGCTTCCAATACATGGGTTGGATCGGGACCTCAAGGAAAAAGGGGAAAAATCTGGATTTTGAGCAGCCACGTGTCAGTTCCCATTTCTGGCACTGCGACACACAGCACAAAAGCACCCAAACAAACCAGGCTTCAAAGGTATAAATGGTTTCACAGAACATACATTTTAAAAGGGACAAGTACAAACATTACAAAATGAACAGAATCATTTTTAAAATGCTTGTATTTGTTTAACCGTTAAAAAAGACATGTACAGAAAGAGCTAGCAAAGCTAACAACTTCCTGCTGCTCCAGTTAGTGTTGCCTGCATGCACTGGAATAGTTATTGTGGAACCGAATCTCTGGCCATCTCTTCTGGACAACTTGCAGTTTATGTCTGATGATGCTATGTGAAGGACTGAGGCAATCCACAGGCTCACTGGCAGCTGTCTCATGTCGTCTGGCTTAACAAAAAGGCATTGAAATAAAAATGTTGTCTGTGGTTTACTTCAGAAACCAAGAAAGAGCACGAGAGAGAGTGCACAACCACGCACACGCGAGGAGATCACACACAAATGAGAGAATACCAGGAAGCTACACTCGCCCTGCCACCACAGGAGGAAAGTACAGCAGCTCCCAGAGTTAGTACAGGTTGGGATTAGCTTGGTCCCATGGATCTCAACATCACTTGACAGACTAAGCTAAAAGCAAGGCAAGAAAGGTTAAGGGGGACAGAACTCCATGTGTTGCATGTGTGCATTCTCTCTCACACCCTCCTCTTCAGGCTTTCTGAGGTCCCAGCAAGGTCAGTTCAAGAGGTTCTCCCATCCAACGTGTAATAGCGATACATTAAACCTAAGACCAGTGCTCCGAAGATGGGGATTAGCCATGTTGACCAGAAACTATAGAGAGAATAAAAACCAAACACACAACAAACCAAAACACACACACATAAAATAGAAGAAAATCACAGGTTAATGATTCATTCAAAATGTTCATCACTTATTACATGTCTGTTTTCTCCCAGGGAACTCTATAAACCCATCTCTCATCAGCTAACAGACCAGCCAAAGGGGCTGTGGCTCTCAGGGCTGGGCAGCATTGGCCATCCCCATGTTCAGTGCTCAGCCCAGTCCCTGTGAGAGTCCCCTGTGCCTGCAAGGGCTTGGTGCCTTAGAAAACAGCAGCTGAATTGTTGAAGCTTCCAGCCTGGCACATACAGAAACCAGTTTGGGGTTTTTTGTTGTTGGTTTGTCTTGTTTTGTTTTTCCTTAAATAAGTCAGACTGTAATTTGTGCTATACAAACAGCTGAGTTGACTCAAGGATGGAAATTGCTACATCCATCCCATAACAAATCTTCCTCACTCGTAAACCAGAGGCCACAGGCTCACCTTCAGCAGCCTCCTTAGCTAAAAGATTCTGCATCAGCTACAAAAGACTAAGGCCCTGTTCTGGCTCTAAGGATTTTCAAGTAAACGGGGCTGGTCATGGTGAAGAACCTCCAAAAACATGCACATCACTGCGTTGTGTCACCCTGTGGTTTGCAGTGCCCACTGAAATAATCCCTATAGTGCAGAGGGACTATAGTGCACTAATATCCCCAGGGTTTTTTTCCTGCCCATTAGAGTTAATAATGCATTTTTACAAAGGGAGAGTCCTAACCCCTTGATTTCTTATTCAGTTTTTCTTAAGAGGATACCATACCTTGATTGGCCTGAGGATGTCACACTTGGATTCTGAAGGAAGAAATAGGGAGTTAAACACGAGCTAATGAGACTACAAGACTAAACATGTGATTACAAACACAAGGTAAAAATAACACTCCCTTCCTCTCCCAGTCACCCTCTATCACAAGCATGGACGTTTCTGGGGCTGTTTGCCATTGTCTTCACCTCCACATTCTTTCCATCAATTCAACCCAATCCAATCCCTCCCACCCAGTCACCAACTTCACACTGGAACTTGCATCCTCATAATAAAAGGTCTTGCAAAGCAGCCTGTTCCTTTTAAACACTAGGGACTGTGATCTGCACTCCGATACAGACCATCCTTTCAGTGTGATGCCCTCTCTAAACCCCTGCCCACGTTCCCATTTGCTATCCTGCTCCCTGACCACTGAAGCATACAACCACAATGTTCTCATCGGCTCTCCCTCGCACACAACCTGTTTCCAAACTTCTGCACTCCTCCTTTCATAGAACTCTTGCTAACTTAAATCCTCCTTCCAGTCAGCTGCAATTCTCAGCTGGGCTTTCATCAACTCTACAGCCTCGATGGCGATTGCTGCTCTCCAGTTTAAACAATAACTACCAACCAAAAATCACCTTTCATGCCCATCCTGAACGGAATTATCTCAATTTCCTGAGAGCTTTAGTGCTTCCCTTCTGCTGTAATACGCCCAGTGGCTGCTAAACACTGACCCTTACCTGTGGGAAGCTACCTCTTGAGCTGCATCACGAGGATATACATGTACAGTTTTTTATGTGTTTGTTCCTCCCGCCTATTTATTTTCACATTACTGAGTTCTACCTCTTGCTGCTGTTTTTAGGTTATACTTGGGCTTGCTTTTTCAAAACAGATGATGTACACTGGAGAAAGGCCTTAGCAGTACATAATTCACTGGACTTTATCTTCAGAAGAGAGAAAGTATTTAACCCATATCCAAGGGAGCCACTCAGATTACTCTTTATTTCTAGACACATTTATGATCCTGCTTATGAAACAGAGTTAAACGAAACAATAGATTTCAAGGTGAATATATGCATAATTATGCAGTCCCATGTTTTAACTAAGTGTAGGCTTCATACAGCCTGAATTATTCTATGACTACAGCAAGCAAACACTCTCAAGGGCTTCAGCCACTGCTCCCTCTGTTGACAGTTTCCCTCTTGGGTCCGGCTACCCTGCAAGTGGCCCTGCTTCGCACAGCAGCTAATGAAAGTGTTGTTGAAGGCAAAGCTGCGCCTGGTCTAAGCCTTCAAGCCAAGCACGAAGAGAAGCCAGCTGCAAGGCACATGTTTACCTCTCCTACGGGATTCTATTTATTACCATTTCCCCCTCCCCATCCATTTCAAAGGCATTTTGCAACACTGTGCTCTGTTCTAATCCAGGAGTACCTGAGTTTTAAGCAATGCCAATAATTACTAGGGCAGTTAACAGAGAATTCTTGTTTTACAGCCAACCCCACAGTGGCTGTGCCTGTCTGCTGGCTTGAATGAAACAACACCAACAGTTCAGTGGTCAGGACATAGCGAGTGATGCAAAGAAAACAGTTTGTGGTTCAAGGTGTGGAAATAACATTGCTGATGTCAGGGGAGAGAGGGCACAAAAAACCCTTCCAATTTCACACCAAGATGACTGCTGAGTTTCAGAACAAACGTATAATTTGC